CATCTCTGCTCTGAAAATATACTTGATCTGAGCCCTTTCTGTTCAGCTAGTGGGGCATGGACATTTTTTTTTTTTCCTCCAAAACTGCACAAAGTGTGGCTTTGTAAGCCTGTTCTAGATACAAATGGAATAAAGACTGGGCAAAAAGACTTGATGCCAGGGATGCAGTGAGGGAGCCGGAGAGGCCTGGCGATTGCTGTCGTGAATACCTGTATTTCCTCAACCAAGATCGCAACGTTTTGTCACTTTTGCATTTCCCCTCTTAATGCGCGTGCGATTTTCTTTGCAACCTCGGCCCTAGATTCTTCACCACCTCCCCCTAAGAATAATCACAATGCTTTTGCTGCTATTAAGAAAACTAATAATAACTCCTTAATGTGATCAGATGTCCGGCTCATATTCAAATTTTCTCATTCAACTCCCAAAATGTCTTGGAAAACGGTTTTTTTTTTCTCCCCCCCCCTCCAAATATGAGCCTTTCAAATCAAGCATTGCTGTTTTTGTTTTGCTTTTTAAAAATAAATGTTTCTTCATTTAAAAAAATTTCTTTAATCTTTATTTTTGAGAGAGAGACAGAGTGTGAGCAGGGGAGGAGCGGAGAGAGAGGGAGACACAGAATCCGAAGCAGGCTCCAGGCCCCGAGCTGTCGGCACAGAGCCCGACACGGGGCTCGAACTCACGGACCGTGAGATCATGACCTGAGCTGAAGTCGGACGCTCAGCTGACTGAGCCACCCAGGCGCCCCAAGCATTGCTGTTTTTATATCTTTTTGTCTTATCTTTGTCGGTTTTTAAAAATCGAAACACCCACCTCCCAACACGCACACGCACACGCACACTTTTTTCTCCACTACGGTGACATTTCTGATGGTTTCTCATGGCGTCATTCTAGTCCCCTGCCCTGCAATGTCTCAGTTTGGTTCACTGCAGGGTAAATGTTGTTGACCACTGGGACAGCATGTTGTAGCCCACGAGGGGGACCTGATGCCAGCTCACCTCTAATGGAACTGCTGCATCTGTTATGAGGTGGCTTAGATAATAATGTACGTAACAGAGGGGCGCCTGGGTGGCTCAGTCGGTTAAGCGTCCAACTTCGGCTTGGGTCATGATCTCATGATTCGTGGGTTCAAGCCCCACGTCGGGCTCTGTGCTGACAGCTCAGAGCCTGGAGCCTGCTTCGGATTCTGTGTCTCCTCTCTCCGCCTCTTTTCCACTCGTGCTCCGACTCTCTCTCAAAAAATAAACATTAAAAAATAAAAAAAAAAAAGTAATGGACATAACAGAAAAAAACCTGGAGAAAATGAACTAAAATATTAACAATGGTGCTCACCATCTGGGTGGTATTTATTTTTCTCTTTATTCTTCTGTACATTCCTTAAATTTGCCCAAATTAGGCATGCTATTACTTTATAATCAGAATTACCATAATATGATGATATGATATTACAATATTATTTTTTTATTTTAAAGGCAATGTATCCATGTTAGAGAAAGTTGGGAAAGTAATGAAATAAACTTAACACGTAATAGTGTAAGGCTTCTCCAAGGTTTTTTTTCATAATTTCAGTAATTATTTTCATACTTTTTCAAATTACGAAAACTTTTTTTATTTTTTCAGAAATGGTTTTTACCTAGTTCTGTAATTGTTTTTGGTTTGACGTGATCTCTTAAGCACGTTTTCTGTGTCGTAGCAGGCTCCAGCCCGGTGCTGTTGGCGGCTAGCCAGGTGCACAGCCTGGTGGGTGGTCCAGGCACCCCTTGGAGGGATTCTACGGAGAATCTCATCCTTCCTGGGCTCTGCCCAACTCTGTGCCCGCACAGTGCCTCTCCCTGGAGGGGCGCATTTTTCTGACTCACTCGGCGGCATCCTGAATGTCCGCATGCACCCTTGGTGAGCTCAGGGTGGCGACTCAGGCATGCCGCCGGTGCAGCTGGGCACAGAGGGATCTACCAAGATGAGGCTGGAGAGAACATTTAGGGCCGGGTCCCGGGAGGCCTCAATCAATGGCTAAGTGGGGACACAGAGAGCCGGTGCTGGTGAGCCCTTCCTTCCCTGGGTTGAGGCCCCCACTCACCACCTGCTTTCCTGCTCCCCAGGATGCCTTCCGAGCCTTCCACCGTGACCTTGATTTTGTGCACAAGTTCATGAAGCCTCTGCTGATCGGAGAGCTGGCCCCGGAAGAGCCCGGCCAGGACCATGGCAAGAATGTGAGTGTGCCCAGACCAAGAAAGGAAGGGAGGGTGTGTGGGGAGAGGGGGAGGTGCTCGCCCCAAGACAGAGAGTGCCGGGGTGGGCCAAGGGAGCTTTATGTCAGTCCAGAAGAGCCACTGCCCAATATCTGGGGTCAGAGAACACCCAGAGGCTCTGCAGTGAGCCCTCTCCTCTCGCTGCCAGCCTGGGCTGGCTCCCTACCTTCAAGTAATTCATTCCCCACCTCTTCACCTCCAGGGTCTCAGTTGAGCTAGGCTGGCACAGGGTCCTTCCTTCTTGTCCAGCCCCTGAACCCCCCTTCCCCTCCCCCCACACACACCATTTTCTCTCTCCTTCCCTGGGAAATACAGGCCATTCCTTGTGCCCTCCTAAGGTCAACCTCCCTTCTGCCCTGGATCTCCACCGCTCTGCCCCTACTCTCCCCTTTCCCTCGAGGTCTGAGCGGGGAGATTGTCTTCACCCCTCCCTGGAGCTGACCTGGGGCTCCTTCCTCCCCCCTCCCCCCCGCACCGCAGGCAGGCGGCTTCTCTCCTCTCCACAGTGTCCTGTGGGTTCCCTCCTTCCTGGCCTTGCTTCTCTGGCCCGCACCTTGTTTCCCTGCTCTCCCTGCTGCTTAAACGGTTGGCAGATTCTTCGACATTTATCACCCAGGCTCCCAAACCTGGCTTTCTCCATGCACGCCCCGCCCCATCTACCCTTTCAAAGCACCCTCTCTCCTTCCCTGCCTGCCCTACCCCTGCCTCCCAGCCCCCTTCTGTCTCCCAGTCACGTTCGTTTCCCCAGAGCCACCCCCAACTCCTCCCTGGTCTCCGGGGCCCCCATCCCCAGTGCCCATCAGGTGTCCTGCCTCCCTGAGCTGTCTGCTTTGTCTCCCCCACCGCAATCCCCTCAAGATTCGACAGAGTGCCCAGAACAAGTCAGGGCAGTGTCGGGGAGTGGGAAATGCAAGCTTGCATGTGCCTGTGTGTGTGTGTGTGTGTGTGGTAATATATACATATCCATAGCATCAACTTTACCATTTTAACCATTTTTAGATGCACAGTTCAGTGGCTTTGAGTGCATTCAAACTTTGTCATGCAAACTTTACCACCACCCACGTCCAGAACTTTTTCCCCATCCCAAACTGCTACTGTCCCCGTTAGACATGAACTCCCCGGTCTCCCTCCCGCCAGCCGCGGTCAACACCATTCTACATTCTGTCTGTGATATGCCCGCTCCAGGTAACTCAGTTGAGTGGAATCATACAATATTTGTCCGTTGGCGTCTGGCTTAATATCACAGAGCACGATGTCTTCAGGGTTCATCCGTGCGGCAGCAGGTGTCAGATTCTCCTTCCTTTTTGAGGCTGAGTGACATTCCACTGTGTGGATGCACCACATTCTCCACTGATGGAGGTCTGGGTTGCTTCTGCCTTTGGCCTTGTGAATAATGTCACTGTGAACACGGTGTGTACAAGGCAGGCTTTTGAGTCGAGTCCTTTCTCCGCTACTCGACTGGCTGTGGCCACACGGTGCGGTCCCCAGGGCTGCGGAGGCCCAGGCGGGTGCCGTGGAGGCTGCTGATGCGGTGCACGGTGGCCGGGCTCCCTGGGGTCGCAGGCTTGTGGATCGGCCCCTCTGGCCACCGCTTCTCTGGGCCAGAAGACGTCGGTCCCCTCCAGAGCAGCCAGGTGGCCGACACCTTCCCTGTGCTCTTGTTCAACAGTCCCAGATCACAGAGGACTTCCGGGCCCTGAGGAAGACCGCTGAGGATATGAACCTGTTTAAGAGCAACCACCTGTTCTTCCTCCTCCTCCTGGCCCACATCATTGCCATGGAGAGCATCGCCTGGTTCACCATCTTTTACTTTGGCAATGGCTGGATTCCAACCGTCATCACGGCCTTTGTCCTTGCTACCTCTCAGGTGAAGTGTGACACCCTCACCGGTCACTGGAAGCCCCCGCCCCAACCGCCCCCCTCCCCCGCCTCCAGCTCACAGAGGCCGGTTACGGGTGAAAGCTGGCACTGTGACAGCATCTCTCTCCCCAGGCCCAAGCTGGGTGGCTGCAACACGATTATGGCCACCTGTCAGTCTACAAGAAGTCCACATGGAACCACTTCGTCCACAAGTTCATCATTGGCCACTTAAAGGTAAATACCAGCAGCCCTGGGCGTCCACCCGTCAGTCAGCGGTTGGCACGGCACCATCTCACTTTGTGGAAGCCAGGTCTCCCCTTGGATCGGTGGCCGTGGCCGCAGGGTAACGAGGCAGAGCCACCTGTGAGCAGTCTCTTCCCACCGGGCTGCTCTGGGCTCTGGGACTGAGCACATCCTGCATTTCTCTGACCTTCCGAGCCTTGTCTCCATATTAAATTAGACCCACAAAACCAGCAAAAAA